CAAATTTCAGCAGTAGATCTTATTGTACTATAGAATATTCGTTAAATCTCTCAAAAAGACAATTGCATTAAAATTGGTTAAAATTGGTAAGCAATATAAATTGTTGTTTTCACATGATTTATAGCTATGTGGTGCTAGCGGGGTGGTGGCGATAGATATATAATTAAAGATACTTGATTTATATATACTATTCTAGAAGCTACATGTCTAGTTTGGTGACTCTGGACTCTAAAAACCTAAGAGATTTGCTCAAAAAACACAATTTGGATATCGATCTATTGTCGATCGTACTATCGACCGTCTATTGATGCTGATCAAGACTATACGTACTTTATGGGGTCGGAGATGCTTCTTTCTACCTGTTACATACATTTGCACAAAAACATTATACCCTTTTGACCCATTTTCATTTGGCTTAGGGTATAAAAAACGAATGTACTGAAACAAATAGTTCATTTTTGTAAATTAACTTGAAATGTTGAGATTTCCGTCAATATGTAAACTCATTGTTAACAGACATAATCACAAAAACACACATACATACATACATAAAAAAAAGCATCCTCAAGGCTGGGTAACTTTTTTAGATTTATTGACCATATTCGGTATTTATTTTTTTTCTATTATATATAAAAACAAGTAAGAGGCTCTAGTCGGGAGTTCCCGAGTCGGAGAAGCCCTGAACCCTGAACAACATTAGAAACTAACAAATAAATTTAAATAAAGACTACTTGCCATCGACTCTACTCGACAGCCATACAAAACATTTTTGTTTGTGCACACAGTACAAAATACAATTCAAACGCAATTACAATGCTTTTGAAAGCATTCAATACAGACGCGCATTAATGTGAAACACATCTCAAATAAATAGTCATAATTCAATCTTCAAAAATTATGTTTGAGGCATACACCGTAATTTGTCACACCCCCATTGAGCGTAGCTATATATTCTGAAAACCAATTTATTAATGGTTTATATTTGAAGTCTTGAGTATATAATTTTGAGAGCGCTGAAAACTATTTGTTTACTAAAATAAATGCTTGCTGGACTTACAAACATAAATATACGCATGTATCTGTTCGTATGTAAAATGGTTTTTTTTACCTCGAACCCATTGAAAATAGGTGAAACGGGTGTAATGTATTTGTGCAAATGTATGTAACAGGCAGATAAGCATCAAAAGCCGAGTCGATCTAGCCATGTCCGTCTGTCCGTATGTATGAACGCAAGGATCTCAGAGCCTATATGAGCTAGAGACTTTGGAATGTAGGTCCTCCTAGTGTCCACGCAGTACGAGTTTGTTTCCGATAATCGATAGCTTGCCCAGTTTCCAAGTAATCGATAAAAATCGCTATCCAAATTGTGTTTTTTGAGCAAATCTCGTAAGATATAAGAGTTAGAGTCATCAAACTTGAATCATCAAGCTTCTAGAATAGTATATGTATATCAAGAATCTTTCATTTTATTGCTATCGCCACCACACCACTTCACGACATAGCTATTAATCAAGTAAAAACTCCAATTTGTATTGCCCACCAATATAAGCCACAATTAAATTCAATTGTCTTTTTGAGAATACACAAATATTCTATGGCACAATAAGATGTACTGTCGAAAATTTCATTAAGATCGGTTAAGAAACACAAAAGTTATGTGTTTTGGCTGCGCACGTGTTAGCAGCAGCTAGCGGAAATTGCAAAAATTTCTGTATACATGTACACGCACACATTCATGCGCGCCTTCTTTGATTTTTATTAACAGCATTGCAATTGAGATTGTATTGTATTCTGTGTTGCTATTTTAATCCGTTTTTTTCTCACTGAGACTGAATTCTTGGTGTGGCTGTTGAGTAGAGACGTTTGCAAATACATAGCGTAGTCTGTCACGAGTTCGAGACCTTTCGAGGAAACAGTTTTTTTTTTAAATGTATTTTTATACCCTGAACCCATTAAAATAGGGTAAAAAGAGTATAATGTATTTGTGCAAATGTATGTAACAGGCAGAAGGAAGTATCTCCGACCCCATAAAGTATATATATTCTTGATCAGCCGAGTCGATCTAGCCATATCCATCTTTCCGTCCGTCCATCCGTCCGTATTTATGAAAGCAATAATAAGAGCTAGAGTCACCAAACTTGACATGTAGCTTCTAGAATAGAATATATATCCAAGTATCTTTCATTTTATAGCTATCACCACCTCCCCGCTACCACCACATAGCTATAAATCAAGTAAATAAACCAATTTGTATTGCCCACTAATGTAATGCAATTGACTTTTTGAGAATATATAAATATTCTTTAGTTTGGCTGTTGAGTAGAGACAGTGGCAAGTGTCGTGGTCTGTTATGAGTTCGAATCCTATCGAGGGAACTGTTTTTTTTTTCATTTGTTTTTATTACTGCTAAAGCAAACGCGCGCGTAGCGCGAGATGCATTTGGTGTCGGTAGAAGAGGGTTCACGGTCCCTTAGTGCGAAGCGGCCGACTAGAGCCTCTTACTTGTTTAATTTATTTTTATTAATGCTTAAGCAAACGAACGTAGCGCGAGCTGCATTTAGTGTTGGAAGAAGGGGGTTCAGGGTATCCCTTATTCGGGAACTCCCGACTAGAGTCTCTTACTTGGCTTTTCATCCAAATAAATTTTTTTTTGATATAGTAGTGAGGTTTGAGGCGGTGGCACGGTTTTATGGAGTTGCGAGTTCGAGTCCGGGGAGTAACTTTTTTTTAATGCTAAAATTAAAATTATTTTTATTAATGCTAATATATTCCTTTGGAAGATGATGGTTCAGGGGCAATCCCCACTAGGGCAGTCTTAAATTTGTAAGATAAATAGATGTATCGATGTCAAAAATCTTTATACATAGTGGCATTGATTTTTTCTTGCCGATTTTTTTAGACGATGTAAGTAATGAATGTTCATTTCGATTTCACTAGTTTGGTGTAATAATTATTCACAAATTAATCAGGAGCGAGCCCGGCGCCACTGGATTGATAAACCAATTAAACTTCTCTGTCCAAACTGGACTACCCAGTGGTAGTCGTTGTATACCTATATTTCTAAAATTTTGTCCAACACACTGTGCCTTGCATAGTTAGTCCTCTACATCATTATGTATTACAGGGTATCTTGGTATTGAACAAAACATCGAAACTTAAATCGATTTTAGCTAATTGTTTTTATATTTCATGATTTATGTTCAACAATGGATTTTAAAAAAATCGTACTTTTGGAATTCCTTATTACAAGTTAAAGCCGCCAAAGACTTAGTTTTCAAAAAATTCAATTATTATTATATCCTGAACCCATTGAAAATGTGCAAAGGTACGTAACAGGTAGAAGAAAGCATCTCCGACCCCATAAAGTATATATATTCTTGATCAGCATCAATAGCCAAGTCGATCTAGCCATGTCCGCCTGTCTGTCTGTTCGTATGTATGAACGAAAGGATCTCATAACCTATAAGAGCTAGAGCTTGAAATTTTAGCTGTAGGTCCTCCTAGTGCCTGCGAGATCGAGTTTGTATCCGATATTCGATAACCTGCTTCGTTTCCATGCAATCGATATCCAAATTGTGTTTTTGGAGCAAATCTCGGGAGCTATAAGAGCTAGCGTCAGCAAATTTGACATAGCTTCTATAATAGTATATACTTATCAAGTATCCTTCATTTTATATCTATCACCACCTCCTTGCTACTACCACATAGCTATAAATCAAGTAAATAAACCAATTTGTATTGCCCACCTATGTAATGCAATTGACATCGATATCGATATCTAGTTTTTTGAGCAATTTTGGTAAATAATAAGAGCTAGAGCCACCAAACTTGACATGTAGCTTCTAGAATAGTATATATATATCATTCATTTTATAGCGATACCACCTCCCCGCTACTACCGCATAGCAATTAATCAAGTAAATAAAGCAATTTATGCTGCCCACCAATTAAGACCACAATTTAAATGCAATCGTCATTTTTAGAATACACGAATATTTTATAGTACAATAAGATCTACTGCTGAAAATTTCATCAAAATCGGTTAAGAAACATAAAAGAAAATGTATTTTGGCTGCCCACGTGTTTGCGGCAGCTAGCGCAAATTCCAAGAATATCTGTATACATGCACACATTCATGCGCGTCTGATTTTAATTCTATCGACAGCATTGCAATCGCTTGTATTGTTTTCTGTGCTGCTATTTAAATTCGTTTTCAGTCAGTTACGAGCTCGCACCCTACCGAGGAACTATTTTTGTTATTGGCTGGTGTGGCTGTTGAGTAGAATCGGCAGCAAGTAATGCGGTCAGTTACGAGTTCAAACCCTACCAAGGGAATTTTTTTGTTTTTTATATGGAAATCCTGCTTTTTGAGCAATTTTGGTAAATAATATGAGCTAGAGTCACCAAACTTGACATGTAGCTTCTAGAATAGTATATATATATATCTAGTATCTTTTATTTTATACCTATCGCCTGTTGGAAGAAGAGGGTTCAGGGTATCCCCTACTCGGGAGCTCCCGACTAGAACCTATTACTTGTTATAATTTAATTGGGTGCTTAGTGTAAAGATATCATTTACTCAAATAGTCAAATGGCATATTAATGATATATAAATTAATTATATTAACTTTCATTATAACCACATTTCTCTTCAAACAAATGTTTTAATTACATTGATTTGAATAATGTTTGTATAGTTTTCAGGTTTTTATAAGACTTTGGTCATTGGTCAACTGTTGCTTATAATACCTATTACTTAATCCCACCCTAAATTCTTATTGGTGTGAATTGTAAAACGAGACGGCAAGCATTCAGTCGCGCTTAACCTTACCAAGCGTACAAAAGAGACAAATCATGTTTCAATATGTTCGTCTTATTTTCTCATTCGTAAAAAAAACTATGAATTTGTGGTCTCCGAAGACTACAATTCATTAAAACAGGCATTATGATAACATTCCTGCCAGTTTAAAAGTTGATGCCGTCGAGAGAGCATCGTTTACCTGAAGTGAAAATATAGTGAATATAAAAAAAACCACCGCAATGCCACATCCATTTAAAGTAGCTTTTGGTGACCATATTAATATACTTCTTTGACTGCTATTATACAATCGCCTAAGAAAATTTTGCCGCTAAGTGATATAAATCGCTTTATAAAGGCACAGTTTCAAACAACTGGCAATACGCATTGCGACATAATATAAGTTTTAACGATTGTTTTATAAAAGTGCCCCGTAATATTAGCAAACCCGGCAAGGAGTTTGCTGGAGCCTTCATCCTAAAGCATCCGAATTGTTTGATAAGGTCAGTTTGTTGAGGCGATGTCGAGTCAAACAACTTGAAAAAGATTTCAGTAATTCGAAACAGACATTAAAATGCATTGCTGAACAAGCTAATGGCCACTGAAACATTATCAAAACATCAAAAAAGGTTTAATTCAAAATATAAGGTCTAACTGCTCCAGAAATAAATAAAAATAACCCAGCAGATTTATTTTCCATCAATTTTATAATCTACAAAATACAGTTTATAATTTGTATAATAATAAGCATAAGCAAGTGTATGAAATTCAAGTCAATATTTCTGGAATGGATATTATGGAATGTATGTATATACACATGCCTATGCTAAAGAATCAAAGATGTGTTTTAATGCGTAGTATTTCGTGAAAAAATCTAAATATTCTTTGCAGGGATAAAGAAAAAATTATAGGCATATTGTAGAAAAACTTAGATAATCGTGTAATAAAATATTTAACCTAACTGATTGAAAAATTATTTTCGGAAGTTTAAATTCTAATTGTATGCAGATAACTTTTGGGGTTCCTTAAGGTAGTCATCTCGGCCCGCTACTTTTTACTCCTTTCATGAAATATCTCGCTCTCTCGTAATAAAGTATGCCTATGATGGCATTTTGATCATAAGCTTAAATTCTAGTCTCATGTTATAACCTAGGTCAATAGGGCCAATCCTATTTTTACAGCTTGTTAGAGGATAGCATTAGAATCAAATAATATTGTTGATAAAAGGAGTAAAAAGTAGCGGACTGAGATGAAAACATTTAAAATATGAATTTTTAAAATTAACCTTTTGTGTTCCTTTACACGAGTACTCCGAAATCTAGTTGAGAAAACTGGCTTGGAAACCGAGAAAAAACATTTATTTTTAATCAGCAAGGGGTGAATAATTTAACCTTACAAAAATCAGTATGGCTGAAATCAGTATGCTTCTTTGCTTTAAATGATCAATTACTAGCGAAGTAAACTCATGAAGGTTAAAGGTATAGATCTACGCGTCACGAACCCGTTATTAGGTAGTGAAATAATAGAACTGCATAATTGTCGCAGTTGAAATTGAGCACACAATTTGCAAATATCTATAGTTTTCTAACTCTTATTCGATTTATTGCCTTTTTATGGAGAGGGCTCATAAAGTGCTTTCACATGTTATGGAAAAATTAAGTATCAACAGACAACTCAAAAAATATTAAAATAGGTCTACAATGTGCTGCAGCACAGTGCCAGCAGACAAGAATACACTCAGGAATTGGTGACCACACCGACTTGATAATAGGATTCAAACTGATGTTCGATACCTGAAACTAATGTGAATAAGGCAGATTTTTATTAAACCTAGAGGGGAAGATTGAAAATATAGTGCGAACTGATCGGCAATGCTCGCATCAGAATTCCCACTCCCATTTCAAATAATGGGTAAAGAATATTGATTTGGAAACTGCTTAGATGGAGAAATTAAAATCGTTTATTTTTTTTAATCTTAATTTTTTAATCTCATTAGTTCCAGTGAGAACCACGGAGGTTATTGAAACCTCACTGAGTAATCAAATATAATGTAGACATCAAGAAACAAGTAATTGCTGCATAGTTATATAGGACCAGTTCTTCCTTACTTCTTCTCCAATACGAGTGACTAGATGGAGTCTGAAGTAGTGTATTTGGGAAGAAGCACTGTAGAATCTGTGATGTCAAGTCTCAGTAAAAGCGATAATATCAAAATCGAAAACAAGAGAGCACACATTTAAAATTTCTTAAATCTTGATTGGCAAACACATTTTTTTAAAAAAGTTTTTACTTTTATAACTATCTGATATGCTGTTACTGCTGTCTAGCAACTTTTATTAGAGTGCGGATCGCGGGTTTCATAGTTCAACAATAGCTTTTGGTTTAAGGTAGCATATTTTAGATATTTACAGTTAGTAGATGGTATATTCATTTATTTTAGACTAGACTAAGTTTTATTTTGATTGCCTGAGGATTTGCATTCAGACACTAAAGGCATCTTTCGACTAGATCTGTTGGGTAGCTCCTTTCAAGCCTTGTTATCTTCTCCTCCTTAACAGGTGCCTTGCTAGGACTAAAGGGTGGTTGTGGAGCTTAAATAGGTAGCTCGCTGCTTGTCTGTTTACAATGCCGCCTATCATTGGAATGTTAAGGTCTTTTGCGATGTCCTGCGCTAGAAAATATTCGGCTCCAGAAATTTTTCGCTTGGTCTTGGCCTGGATGACGAGAACTTTATGCAAGTGAGTTTTTGCGGCTACACCGTAAACTTGGAGCCCATCTCGCCACTATATTATACCTTCTAGATGAAGACCTTGTTTCGGATAAAGAGTTTGTTGATGGAGTTGAGAAGCCAGCTTCTTCGCCGGATTTTTATTTTGACATTGTTGATTACCTCGGTGATATTATATAAAACGTAAGTCAAAGTATTTGTCTCCGAAGTATTTGTGGTCACTCACACCTGCTCTAAGAGCACACCATGGAGAAAAAGTCCGGGGCAGGAGTCTTTGCCCGGGGTATGAGTGACGGTAGCACATTTTCCAGTGCTCACTTAAACTCCACCTACAAGCGCTTGAGGTACTCCTGCAGGATGTCCGCTGCTTCATACGCCCATCTGTTCTGGCAAGGATTGCGGTCCCCGTCAGCAAACGTGTCCACCAGAAGATCCTGCCGACTAATTAGAGCGATTTCATGGGCATGTCGTGCGTAAAGAGGAAGTATGTTACCCAAAACGCTGCCTTGTAGAACGCACACTCTGAAATTTCCCCTCTGTCAGGAAGCTCGCAATGATGCTATAGAGCTGCAGATTCAATTTGTCCTTTTTTTTGGAGAGGAGACCTGCGTACCACAGCCAATCGAAGACTTGTTGGATGTCGAGCTATGCTGCCCTGTATAAACTTCTTCATTCCTGTGGTACCGTCCAAAATGAAGTTAGCCAACCGATGGAGCTGCTCCGGAGTACCATGCTTGAGTCAGAACCCAAACTGGAACTTCGGGATTGAACGTTTTATCTCCAGGGTATCCAGAATCCTTCTAAGGACGCATCTTTCCAGAATTTTGCCGAAGACAGGCAGGAGGCTGATGGGGCGATAGGACTCTAACTGATTAGGAAGCTCCCCGCTCTTGTTCTACATAATGATTTGCGCCTTCTTCCAGGCCACTGGAAAGTGACCTAGTCGAAGCGCTGCATTGAAGATGGCGACGAGAAAAAGCACCGCCTTGTATGGCAGTAACTTTTTTGTCTGGTTGTCTAAACAATCTTTCCCACGGGCTTTGTTATTTTTGAGGCTCTTTATCTCCTGCTTGACTTTTTGAAGGGTGATTAGTGCTGCAGAAAGGGACATTTGGAGTGCCGGCTCTAGAATTTGCGGGCTGGTTTCTGCCATGCGATGCGGTCTCGAACGACTTGAAACGCTCGTCCAGGTTTCAGATGAAGGCTTTGGCTCTGTTATCTGGCGATCTGGCACAGGAGCTATCGGGATGTCGCCCTGTTGGCGATACGGCGATAGATCCTGTCGATCTAGGGGTCCTAAGTACAGACGAACCCCCTTCTCAGTCGCTTTTTCTGGAAAAGAAGGACTATAACCATGGCGGGAAGCGTCCTTGTGTGCTGGCTTGTAAGCGTAGGGTACATTTATGCTGGCTTAGTGTTGGCAGCCGCGGCAGATAGTTAGCCCAACAGGGTTTGAACTGCAACGTCGGCATCCTCGGCTGTGAGGATCTGCATGCTTAGATCTAGCATGCCATTTAAATCAGCCTTAAAACGTTTTTTTGGGGTCACGAAGGGGTGGGTGTGGGTCTCCCGGTGTCCAGGCTGAGCAGTGTCATGCAGCGCAATGCCTCTACTGTCAGCTCTGTAGCTTCCACACAGCCTAAGTCGCCTTCAACAATGAGTTTCTGACCAAGCTGATTCAGGATAGAATCGAATTCAGTTCGGCTCTCGGAAAGGTTTGGCAGTTGGATTTCGCCCAAAGGGGTCCCGACCATAATGGCAGCCATCTCTTTGGCGCTGAAGGTCACTAGATGCAGTTTGACAAGAACCGCAGCACCTCCTCTTGGGTGATCCGCGCGGTAACAAACATTCCCTCCATGGCGAAGTACAGGCCAGGGTGTATGTAGGTCTCTGAAAAAATGATGATGTCTACTTCGTGTTTTCTCAAAAACAGTTTGAGCTCGTTTGCATTTTGTACGATGCTTCAAGCGTTTTACGATCTGAAGCGCAACCGGGCAGACATTTTTTGTGGTTATTGAGAACCTTGAAATGCTGTGGAGGACCTAGCGCGTCCTTTAGCTCCTTAATGCCGACCAAGATAGTTGCAACTGTGGTATTTAGTGCTGCGATCGACTACGGGAGTTGACGCACTTGTGCATGCTACTGGTAACTGTTGCGGCCTGGCTGCAGTGCATCAGCATTCGACAGCCCTTGTTGCACAATTCAGGAAGGTACGAACCGCGAATAGATGCGCCGTGCAGGTTGCTGTTGGTCGTGTTGTGCCGGACGGCCAACATTTTTGGCCTGCTGTCTGGCATTAAAACTTTGCTGATATGCATTACATCCTTTATAGGAAGCAGCATGGCTTCCCTTGAGCATTGCAGGTCTGCCACCGTTTTGGGCTGGCACTGCTGCGAGTTGGTCCAGTGAACTGGGCGTACCTGGCGCATTTGGGGTGCTTGAGGCAATAGTTTTTTGTGTGGTATATGAAAATACAAAAAAGGTTGTTAGTTTTTTAACCTACAATATTGAGGCGTCACAAGAAGAAGGTGGTAACAAAACCGTAATCTGATTTTTATAATCTAAACCCATTAAAAATTATTTAGAAGGGTATAATGGTTGTGTTGAAAGTAACAGACAGGTAGCATACCCCATTCAATAAAATAAATATATATCCGTATATTCCAAGACGTCGATCCTGGAAAAAAAGAATCTGAAGACTTGAAATTTTTTATGTAGATCCTTCTTTTGCCCCGCACAATACGAGTTTGCTTGAAATCATTGATAACTGGTATTCATAATTTCAGGTTTCTTGCTCTTATAGGTTATGATATCGACGCGTTCATATACCACTTTTAATCAATTTTAATTTTAATCTTAATTGAATTAATTGCTAATTAAGATCGCATCTAAATAATGCTCTACCAAATGTTAGTTAGGAGGGTAAGAAAAGTTTCAGTTTTATGAAGTATTTTTAAACTTATCTAATGTCCTGCAACAGTAAAATCTCAGTGGAGGTTGATTCTAGTGTAAAATGCGACGACGATCCTTGTCATTTCAAATATAAAGCGGCGCATGGAAGAAAACGCATTAAAATGAATTTAGTGTTTCCTGAAAACAAACAGGTAGGAAGATACTGATGCACAATGCAATACACAGACGCATATTAGGACCATTTGTCTTTTTCGTTTGCAGAAATCATAACTTCTGGAAAAATAATATAAAATTAATATATAAAAAGGAAAGTCTCTAAAATGCTCACAATGCTAATCTTATTTTCCGTGCAAAAATTAATTTTTTGGTTAGCATCAAAATCTTTTTTCTATGTTATTAATATTGTAAAAAAAAAAAAGAAGATATTTAATGATTATTACAATTTTTTTAATATTCTTTGAGATTATTTTAATCATTTGGTGCGATAGCTAATAAACCTAAAATTTCGAATCTAAAAAAATATTTCTTCTAAACCAACAGACTTGCATATATCTATGAAATTCATGTAGGACAATTTAATGCTTATTTTCTTATATCTTTCAATTTGTATCTTGTAGATTTAAGGACTTGCTAAGCAAAGGGAACTATACATGATCTCAACATAAAATCGACGTTTATTTCGCGTTTACATTACTAGCTTTGCGTATACATATTCTACAATTCCCTTACAACTGAGAAGTGAAATCTGTCATCATTAGGATACAGCATTCTTCTTTGTCAATATTAATGACCATAAAATAAATGGCCTTACAATAAGCCTTCTTAACTGTGGCTAAACCAAACACAATATAAATAGACAGAAAAGAAGCTCCGAGCAACAAAATGATACCAATGTAAACAGCAAAATAAGTAACGATCATACATTTGAATGCCGGGCAAAAGGCTTTTCAGCTGGCTCTCCACTTTTTAAATGCTACGCCAGCCGATATTTAAAAATAAATAGAAGGAGAGGAAAAGTCACTCTGAGCTGTCATTACCGTTTTTAAGTTTAAGCAAGGTACATTTTGCAAAAGTAAAATCAAACACAAAACTCAAGCACATTTACCATAGGAAGCAACGAAAAACACTTGTAAAACAACAACAGTGCGCATGAAACCTTGTTTTGTTATTGTCGTTTCTCTTGATCGCCCTAATGCTTGTGCAAGATCTAGAGGACATAGATAACTATGTGCAAAGAAAAGTGACAAATACTTATAGGTGTTTTATGGTAAATTATGTAATCAAAAATGCACTAATTTACTGTACGCAACGATCGTACACAACCCAAGCGACTCAGATCAACATCGACCAGCTTTACTGAAGGCAGTCTGGCAACTGACTTCGATGCTCGATGCATAAAGCAGCATCAAGCCGCGACGCCAGCATGCGTTTGTGCAACTTTTGGTGGGCGTAAAGACACTCGGCCGAAAATCACCCAAAAATTGGCGGAGAATGGATGTAAGTAACTGTCGGATTGGTTTAAATTGTATTTATAAAGGTCTATACAAACATTTGTTTAATAGGGTTTTCGAAAAATCCACCCCAATGAGATTGAAAATTGTCAAAGGTTCAAGGGTTTATAAACAATAGTTTCTTTCGGCTTTAAGTTACAGCACGGGATAAATGTGGGCGGAAAATATTGTTTCCTATTTTTCGTTCCTTTTCTTGGACTTCACACTGATTTTTGAATATCCCTGTAAAAAATATCTTTAGAGCTGAAGTTCGAATTGGTGGAACAATGATGTTAAAAGTGTTCAGTAAAATACTTGGACCGGGTAAAGCAGGGAAACACTAGCTAGTATATTTTTACACTAGGGTTGGGTCGGTAAAAAATCGGATATGTTTTAATTATCATTTTAAATTGATAAATATTAATGTTGTTTTTATTTAAGTTATATGTTAATAAATTGTGTGCATCGATTCACATTATTACCCTAGAGAAGCCCACGAATATCACAATTGCAATAAGGGGACCTGCGAGTCGACTTTAATTTTAAGAAGAAAACTAAATGTAGATCCGGCCGTTTTTCCAATGTCTTTTTAAAGTCATACCACTTACCATTCAATGCTGATATGTCAAACAGCAGAATAATCGAAACACGATAAATCGCAACTAGGGAACCTCAAGGGTGTCTGCGACAATTTTGTTATGCCCTGGGGGACTAAGACTGCTGAAAGTGTCATCCGAACGCCGGCCTAGAAAGCCGAACGTTCAGTATGAAGCCGCATCTCGCTAAGCGCACAATGTTGGTTCTGCTAATGCCTTTTCTTAATATATGTAGGTTAGTTTTAAATCCTTACAGCCCAAAAACATATGTGTGTATGCATGTGCAGGGTGTGCTTCGTTCTCACGCATTGCCTTGCGCGCTTGTGTGCATCTCTTTTTCCCTGCATAGCTTCTTAAAAAAGTCCGAGATCTACAAACAAACATA